GCAGGCGTAACAATGCCACTAGAAATTAAGTAAAACAATGGCGATAAAGGTTCCACTCTGATAAAGTGGCGTCAAGCACCCTTCCACTTGTCAGCGATGGGCGTGTCTGAGAACCAAAGTGATTCCGAGGTAATCACTGCCACGCCCTTGAAGAGTGTCTTCTGCCGCGTGAACGTTGACTTGGTCCACTATCCATCTTTTCTTGCGCACTCTGAGAATGCAGAAAAGCAGGTATTGCTCATGGTTTTCTCATGAACAATTCTGAACAACGTTGTGATCCCCAGGAGCCCAAAAGCTAAAAACTCGGCACGCAAAACCTTTCTAAAAAGCTAGGCGAGTTTTCTCGACAAACGGGCTTTGAATTCGTGTGCGCATTCACGAAAAAGTTTATATTCAGAAGCTTTTCGCGTGTTCCCATTAGTCACTCTGACAGCTTTTGAGGAAGTTATAGCCGCTAGAAAATAACAACAATCCCCATTCGCACGAAAAAGATCAAACCGGGGACATCTCAGAGACTATCAGATTCGAGCTCTTTCGGAGAGAGATTCATTTGAGTTTTTCAAAGCCCTTACTATTTTGCACAAACTACAATTGGAGAATGTCGTCGTTTTCAAAATTAAAAGGTGTGCGCATTTAGCTGAAGTTTCTACCTTCCACTTAGTGACGGAAGCACTTCCTTTTGTTCTAAAAAGATCAATAAAGGATAAAGGATAAAGCTTTTGCCGTTGATCAATGACTTGCGGGGGCCAGCCGATGTACAAGTCAGTGTTTTTATCCTCCCAGACAAGTCTGGTACCAATTAACCGACCCCGGAGGGATGGAAGGCTTGGTTGGCCCGGGCGACTCACGACCCAGGATTTGATCCCCGGACCGCTCGCGTGGTAAGCGTGCCACTTGCCACTACACCACTTCCGCCCAAAAAGATCGGGATCGAAAAAGATCAGTATGCTCGCAAAACAAAGGCCTATCAAATCTTAAATTTACTTTGGATTTTGCAAAATTCCCATATTGAAAAGATTCATTTCGTTCAAACGATTCTACCTCACTTCCTTCTCCTGATTCTTTTGAGAGAAGTATTGCGCGCCCCGCGCACAATTGGTGATGCTGTAACCTCCGATCATCTGCATTCAGGCCAACTCAAATGCATTTACGATCCTTCCTCCCCAATCCAAGCACGACTCCTTCGTCTGACTTGGCGAGAGGACGATCCTAATCACTAGTAAAATTGTTCAGAAAACAAGAGATGCAGATTTGATTACTTTTTGGGGCGAAGACTTTTGCCCACATTCTCTTTTAATGACTTTTTCATGGTGATCTACAGCCAAAAATATCAATTAATAACCAAAATCAACACACATTTTTGCTCTACGCTGTAGAGCGGAGGAGAGGCAGACAGCGAGATTAGAGATAATGAGTGGAGGAGAATAAGAACTCCCAGTCGAGAGATCACACATAACAGCGAGACCAGGTAGACAAAATACTAACGCGGCAGGCCGGCGGATGCAGCAGGAGGATAGACTAGCCCATAATAACGCAGTTTTGGGCATCTTTGCCACAAGGGCACTTTGTATCGTACCGCGCACTCCTTTTTCCAGCTTCTTTGAAACCTTTCACTCGTTTATCCGCACGCACTGGCATTAAAGAGGTTAATGTTTATGCTTATGTTTATTTACGTTGCGTAAGGCAAATGTTAGAAAAGAATACAACCGCAAGAGCTGGATACTATTGACATGTGAGGATGAGTCACCAATATAATATGATTGCAATTGACTCGCCGACGATCTGAATTATATTCTATTCTTATCTAGTTGACCTTAAATTATATCATATGCTTCCTGACACCCCTAAACCTTGCCCAAATGTCTCATATGATAATTTATATATGTTATATCCAGCTTATAATTGAACTATACAGTGTGAATATTTGTGATAGAGGCTTTCTGAGCTTTGCTGTAAGACCTCGAGGGCCTTTACGAATTTCCTGTGTACTGGAGCGTGTAATTTCTCTAAGGTATTCTGGGTTTCCATAATGTGAGGTCACTCCAGATCGATCTTGCAGAGGATTTGGTCGTTGATCTCATAATAAACTGGGCATCGAAGGTTTTTGAACATGAGACGGTCACACGCCGCAGTCAACTACCGGTCGCATAGCGATACATCTTACTGAACAATGTTCCAACTACTTTTGTTGAAGACAGCTAATCCTGACAATAATCCCGTATGCTAGGTTGAAGATAACCCTGAACCTGGATTGGAACAAGCTTAAATTTCTCTAGACACAGGAAGATTCAGAATACCTCAAGTTCGACATGTAAGTTAATCATTACGTCACGTAACGATACCTGTAGATTAGCACTAGTTTTTCTCCCGCTGACTTCGTCGAATCAGCCAACGCTTCTCTTGTGTTCCATACGAACTCTTCTGCCCCTGTTCCGTTTTGATTGTTGGCTGAACAAATCATAGTGGTGTTTTGTAGTGCACCCTAGGTCAACGTTAGTTGCTATTACTTTTATCTGATTATTTAGTGGATGCCGTAATTTTGATGGCAGTGTTGTTGTCCTGATAACTTCTTCTGGATCCAAGAGTGGACAGGGGTTGCTTGTGGGTTGTCTGCGACTTTGAGACGAGTGGGTCCAGTTTATTAGGGATGTTTTTTTAGAAGTCTCCTTCCACATGTCTTCATGAATGTGCTGGTTTGAACGCAGGTAATAATCTTCAATCATGGGCCCTGAAAAGCCACGAGTTCAAAGATTGGCTAGGACCTTAGAAATTGTACAGGCTAGATGTAAGGTAGAACTTCCTCACCCATCTAAGTGGTGGCCATCACAGGGTTCGGGTTTGTAATGCGGCAGCAGGGGATCGGCAAAATTTGATCTACGAAGTTCTTTATGGATTCAATGAATAAGTAGCAATATCCTAAGTGTTGAACTCACAAAAAGGTGCCGTGTCGGTATATTGAACAACTTCCAGAAGAGACCGTCCGTTTTTAGTCCGAAGTGGGGGCTCATCCATACGGGGGTCATCATCACACCGTAGAACGTTATTTCCACATAGGCTGCAATCTGAATTCAAAGACTACTCAGTAGATAATAAAAGCATACGGCATGTGTTTGTTGTGTTTTTCCTCCAGGGCAATCACTCATTCGTTTCCGTTCTAAATCGTTGGATTTTTTAGAGCAAACTAACGCGACAATATGTATGTAGTTGTTTTCCTTTGAGCGAATGCGGCACTAACCAGTGACAGAACATTCGGAAGATCAGGTTGGCTTGTGTTCTAATCGATCAGTAATCCAATTTCAGAGGGAAACCTACTAATCTTCTATAGTTTTCATGTGTGTTTCAAATTGAGTTTCAGAATTTCAAACTTTATCCCTCCTTGTTGTGAGCCTTGTTGACCATTTAGCATATGATTATTTGGTCCTGTAGAACCTCAGTTATTGACAAAGCAGTGGATTGCTGCGGAGTCTCGAGATCTGACTAAAGACATTAATCCACAACTAGATGGATGGAATACTTCGAATAAGCTGAAAGGGAACGGTGGCGATAGATGAAGCGATGCGAAGCGTAGCAGTGGCAGGCGTCCCTTCAGTAAGAACTGTTTAGACGTCAAGCAGTTGTGTCGTCCGGCTACTGGTCTGTCCGATCACCGTGATGGAAGAGCATTTTCTCAATCCATTTCTCCTCGCCGCCTCGTCGCTGACTGCTGCTTATTACCGTCCACATCGTGCAATAAAGATTTTTGTACTCTCTGTGCCTTCTGCGGCTTCTCCTTCCTCTTCCTGGATAGTGTTCCACTCCACACCCACACCCTCATATTGGCCTCATATTGGAGCGGGATAGCCGCAACAGTTTGATCGTGAAGTCAGACTATAAACTGCGGTAGGTGGCCATCGTACGATCATGTGATCTAAAACTTCACTAGTGTCACAATTAGTGGAGTGCTATTCAATGAAGGGTTTTGATGAAGGAACCTTCTTAAACGTATCATATAAGGTTAAACATGAAAATACAAGATACATACATACGATACATAAAGCCAATCCATTCTACTCAGTACATGTAATCGACTTCGCCTATGTGCCTTTTATCTGGCACGAGATTCGATATTTGGAAAGACATCTGAAGGGACCGAGTCGAATTCATAGGCATAGATAAGACATGGGTAAAGAAGTTCCACACACGGCCAACTGAAGCCTTGCTCACTCACGGACGGAGGGATATGTATCAAAATGAGCAGTGTCGATGGAACAGAACTCATGATTTGGTTCTATCTCAGACTAGAGAGTCGCGAAAGTGAGCAGGTGTGCGCCACGGAGTTGACAAATCCTCGATCAGTAGGTGGAGTGTCCTTAGTGTGTGTAGGGTCTTTCTTCAAAAAATTCTCGATTCAGTGACTATCTAAATAAAACCCTCTAGGGAATAGAGAAATATCGTTGGAGTTGAGCGATATTCACGAAGGTATACGAAGCGCATTTAAAATAAGCAAGGAGGTGTCTGCATGGGCTGTGTTTTCAAGTGAGCGTTCTTTGCTACAAAGTTCTATAATTCGATTCAGTGATTATCCAAATACAGGGGAAAAGCGGAAAGGAGACTAGCGAAGAGGGAGAACTCAAAGGTGGGTGGAGCGCTTACCAAGGTGGGCAGAATTGGTATTCAAATTCATAGCATGTTTCTTGGCTTCTTAGAGACTGTGAAAAAACCAGCAGAGCTTTATGAAGGAGAGCATTTCAAGTATCGGTAGATGACGAAGGTAAAGTTGGCAATTCTCCTCCACGTTTCTTCGTCAGGGGCCAAGTTTGGCACTTTATAGTGCGGCGCCATTTTGATCATGGAACGAATTTTGGCGTCGCAGGAGGAAGTGCTGTGCATTCTCCACCTTATGCTGGGTTCCTTCTCACATGGTGACTCTCAGCAGCAGTTTCAGAAATCAGGTGAAATATTTTGATGCACCTGTATATTAAGGAGCAAATATACGTATGGTTTCATTCGAGAAGGCGTCACGTAGATCATCAGATACAGAGAATAAATGAATGCAATGGTCGTTATTAGAACGAGAATGTAGTGAAAGCCTTCATCCTCCTGGAAGTTTTTTTTGAATTTGAATGCGCAAAGTAAGAGAATTCATTTAACTTACGCCTATATTCCATAATGTATAGTATGCCAACTCTTAGTTGTTATCACAATTGAATGGCTCGCTGTGATTTGCTCCTGAAATTAGGTATACAACTAATTTTGATATTGTGAAAGCTATTGCAGAGAGCTCAATTCGATTTGGCTCAAGACTGGAATAGTTTGAACAACTGGCGAGCGTTGAGGGTTTTCAATAAAAAAAGAATTCATGTTGCCCAAGTTATTTGAAGTGAGCGGAACTGTTGTATATTGGGATGTTCAGAGTCGTATTGGCAGTTACTTGAGTCATGTGCCTATGCCTACACGCACACTGTACACATGCTGTGTCCACACACTGCTATTTGAAGAGAACAAAAAACATACTCAGTTGATCCTCTGTTTACAATTGCGATCATTTGTAAGGCTCAAATTGATAAGAATTGATGCATGAGTTAGATCAAGCAAAAAATCGTTTAAATTCATATTACGTCCTTTCCTGCGTGACCATAATTGCTAAACATTTACAGCCATATTTCGAAGTCTAATAGGTCCGTGTCACCGGAAGAAGATGCGCAGATAAGCTGCTTCCAACACGCTTTGCTGATATGTGGCGGAGTATTTTATCCATACGACATCTATCAAGTGCGGTGGCCGCACGTCATTCCCGGGGACACGCCCAGTCAGACTTCGAGATTATGGAATGGTATTTATATAGCCTCCCCTTCAGAAAGCGGGAAAGTATCAGATGCAGACCAAACACCACAACTGACGGCGGCCTCCAAGTAAATCTGGTTTGTAGTGTTAGCTGATTTTTAGCAAATGATAATAGTTGTAATTGAGACGACAATCGGTTGTAAATTACAGAGTGCAACAGAATAATTATTTCATTCGGAAACTTACATTTTGTGAGGTCGTGTCACTTGTGATGCCGATTGGTCTACACCCGACATTTTCTCTCTTTTCAAAGGGGGGGGGGGTAATTGCACCATCGACAACAGATGGCCCGAAGGATCGGATCTCTCGAGACGTCAAACGAACACACACGACACAGGTCCGATGATCAAGCTCTGAACGAAAGAAATAACGAGCTGTGTGTCTCTCGAGTGAGCAGGACCTGCTGGAGCATTCTGGCAAGCGATAGGGAAGAATGAGAAGTCCCGTGCGCCTGCTCGAAAAACTCCAAGAACAGGGGGACGACATGTACAAGAGATGATACATCACAACATTATCTACTTCATTTATATTTACTCATTCAAAACACGCCCATCCAAGCTTGCAGTCGTCTCATGGTAGGCGTAATATATTTTTTTTGGAACTGTTCAAGCGCGATGAATATCCGTCCAAGCATCAAACTTCTTCATTGTGTTAGCTCGACCACCGGAGCTCATTTGAATGAGAAAGCGTATCGCAACAAAACATTACAAAGCAGCCATATGTTACGGTAGGCGTTCGTTCATGGGTTAAGAAAAAGTTCTCAGCATAACCCTTTTCCAATATTCAAGGTGGAAGAATACAACTCATGTGAACTAAGCGGGTTATTTTTTGGACGAACAACTGTTAGAAAGGGTGGGAGATGTCCGGGATTTGTGTGAAATGGTGTTAAGTACCACAAACGATTCAAGTGTCAGTGTCAACTGACTGACGAGAAAAAAGCCGCACGCATCGAATTTGCCAAGATTGGCGGATATTGAAAATGCACGGAACCGGCGAGATATACCGTCGATGAGTTTGTTCGAACAAGTAATCTCTACCAGTTGGATTATGATAAGATGGAAGATATGCGCGATAACAGCTAAGCAGTGGTTAGGATGGGAAAGAGGCGGATAAAACTTTAATAATTCGGGTTTATACACTTCTGTCGTAGAGTGACACAAGACTGAGCGCGGCATGGGTGAATTTGTCAATGTAATTTCAAAATTATGGCCAATCCTTTCCAAAAGGTTCCGTTGTTTGCCCAGGTGCTCTCTTATTTCTATTCGTAGTAAGAGTTTGGAGTACTAGGCCACGATTTTCCCTGAACTTTCAAAATGGCTTCGGTGGTTGTGGTAGAGCCATCAGGCGCGTGTAAAAGCAATGTTTTTCCTTCACTCCCGTAGGAGAGGAAAGTAACTCAAACCGTAATCTATTAGAGTTGCCTACGCCAAATAAGTGCTACTATCGTTGCTTGTTGGATTAAAAAATCCAACAGTAAGGGTAATACTGAGGGGTGTCCTATGATTTTACACCGGTCCAAAATCAAAAAAGAAATTGTCTTAAAGGCACGAGTCGGGGTTGAATTGATGCTTATTTTGTTCAAACATTAGGCAAGGGGTGCAATGAGGAACATTAGTGAGGAGAAAAAGCAAAAAGCACCATAGAAAACACTAAATTTCCCTTAGGAGGCCGGCCGTAGTACGACGGAGAGACACAGCGCTGCGAGGAGAGGGAGAACGCGAGATAGTACGTCATACGCGAGAGGACGCAGAGACCACGTATGCCGTGGTGGATTACGCTGGCAGCGCGGGCAGCGCGGCGGGCAAGGCCTTAGCGCCATTGCGCGGCGATTCGCTAGCGAATCGCTAGATCCGAGCGTTGCGTCAGCGAATCGAACGTTGCACCAGCGAATCGAACTTTGCGCCAGCGAGTCGAACTAGGTACCAGCGACTCAATAGTGGCGGGACCCAACGTTTAAAGGAAAGCCCGCCACTTTCAAACAGTGTCACGTGACAGTGGACGTTGTTTGAAAGTGTGCGGGCTCCTTTGAGTTGGGTCCACATTACTGAGTCGTGCAAACCAGTTCGACTCCTGTACATCGTTGAATCGCTGGCATAAAGTATCCCGTTGGTTGCAACGTTCGATTCGGCGCAACGCGCTCGGAGCGAGCGATTTGATGCGAGTCGCTCGAGTACGAAAACTGTTGACATCGGCCGAAGCGCCATTTGCCGCCGAAACTTTGAGGTCCGCGATAGGGTCCGTCCTTTAGTGCTGTGGGAAACACGTATCGCACCCTAGGAAGAATTTCCTGTGGTGGCTAATCTTGATCGTGGGGTTGAAACGAAAAACTAATCAAGTAATGCTGCTTTGTGGAGATTTTCTGTCAATGGGCAGTTGTCTGATTACAAGTTGCTATGAATGATAGCAATGGGCTCGTAGCACCAGTTCAATCCCGGGGTTTTCCTTCAGCGAAACTTAGCATGGACTCTACTGCGCACAACGAAGGAGATAATATACCGTTGAACCATTTCTAAATGCAAACAGAACAGTATGGAGTCACCCTTAGCCGAGATTCGGACAGAAAAATTTATTCGCTTTGTTATCGCTAGATAATTGGTAGCGCAGGCACGAAATTCAGGCTGGCGGAATGCCTTCGCTCATAACATTCTTGCGAAAACTTCGCAACACGATCTGCAGCGTAAAACAGCAGTTGTAGAAAAAAGCAAGTTGGAAAGATTTTCGGTAGGCTTTTATTGCTGCTTTTGTATTGTTGTCGACCGCCCCATGGCCGAGTTTGTCTAGCAATACACGTATTTCTATCCAATACGAGGAAAATAAACTTTTTCCCACTACAACTCGATTTGTAGCAAGGAAATCGGTACAATATGCAAAACCCATACTGGGAAACGTAGCTATTTGCTTGTTTTCTTTTTCAAATTATTGGCGCTCACTACATAATTGTGTTGACTGTATAGAGGTTCAGTGGTTAATGAAATTCCCATTGGAACCGTTTCATAATCCTCTCTACTTTGTGTTTATATGAATCAAAATGACACTCGTATAACTTCGTAGTTATACGAAATGCTCAGTTATGGGCAAAACTCTTCGGCCCACGTGGGATTCGACCCTGCATCTCTTCCTCTTACCAATCAATTGTGCTAATGATTTTATTATCTTTTCACCAACAACTTCTGCAACAGCGAAGATGCGATTGTTGAACAAGCCTTTAACAAAAAAGGAAGGCCAATTCCAAGGGGAGGTCTTTTGAAGAATCCCCTAAAAATGGGCGTTTTATGAGCTTTATAAAATATGGGATAACCCATGATTTTCGTGAGAATGGCAGTAAATGGAAGGAAAACAGGAGAGGGATACTGAACTCTTCATCATGTCGATTTAAACTGAACGCTCAAAGGAAGAATTCACGAAAAAGGTTGGAGACGGGAGAGAGACGTTTACTGAAAAAGGCAGAGGAGCTATAAAAGTGCGGAGAAAATCTATATTTTGCAGCAAAGTCTCTACCAGGTATCTAGCAGGCCGTATGCACGTGCGGCGTCGCCTATTGCCTAACTAAAGTGCTAACGGATGAGCTCTCTTCGCGCTCTCACCTGGATTTAAATTTCAATTAACGTGTGAAGAAGAAGGGCAAAGGTTTCTCGCTACCGCTGATTTCTCGAAACCTTTACCGCGAATTTCAGTCGGAATGCCAGAGATGCTAAATGGGCCTGCGATCGAGACTCAATTTGCAACCGAGACTCTCTACGAAGTAGGTCCGTGCAGGCTTGCGAGATTCTTACAGAAGCAAAGACAGGGGGTTTTCCCTGTGGACGGTCTGTAGGCAACTAGCAAATCGGGTGTAGCGATGTGGTTTGGTCAAAGTCGATTACGTTACCATCAGTTCTCCAACTTCTCTCTTCTTGTAACCTCGGCATGTCAGTTGTAAGTTTAACAATTTTCTTGTGCCTTACGAGGTTGTTCGGTGGAACTTTATTAATGGCCTAACGTTTCGACTGAATCGTCGTCTTCAGAGGCCTGAACGTGTTTCAAGCGTTAGACTTACGCTCTACACCACCAAGCGCCTCATCAACTCTAGCGGTTTCGACATCGTGTCAGAAACCCCTCGAGAAGATCAGGACAGCGCAAGAAATAAACTCACCGTCGGTTCCACCCTTCGAGCGGAAAAGTCCGCTGCCACACAGAGCGCTGATCAGTTAGAACTGAAGAATACCATACTGTCTCCTTATGTCAAAAATAGTCGGGAGACGCACGTAACGCTCTGTCATTCTACAGCTCGCAGTGCGGAATGAACGGCAGTAGATCATTTGTTATTGAAGGACACTCATCGCGGCTGTTCATTCTTGGATTTCTAGTGAATATCCAGAATGCTTCTAATGCCTTCCGCGCGGAAATTTCCGTCTCTTGAGCCAGCAGCGTGCACCTTATTTCAAATTCATTCCCATTATGCTCCTCAACCTTATGTCTTCCCAAAGGTGTTGTCACAGTACCGCGTCTCAAATTAGCAAGATGTTCCTTGATACGAATTGCTAAAACCCTTCCTGTTTCCCCTATGTACCTATGTAAAGTTACCATCAGTATTGGAGGCAGACGTTGCGGTAAATTGGTCATCCCTTGTAAAGGGATTTCCCCTTCCTCAGGCTCCAATCTCAACATGAAATACTCCTCCGAAGGCAGATGGTAGAAAAATGGTTATCCACTGGGAACGAAAGAGGAGCCCTTAAAAGGTGAAGATGCATTGAGAAAACTTGGAGAATTGGGCTAGAACCCTCAAAACGGGGCCATTGTTTCCCTGGTAAGTTCCAAGTTAGGCTGAGTTCCATCGTTGTTGACGCTACCAACGTAAGCGCTTTGCTCTGCCCCTCCGCTAAAAGGAGTACTGGAGTCTGTGGCTAGAGTGCCACGGCCACTGGGTAGCCGGTGGGCGTGAGGTGCACTCATTTCATCACAGGGAGTGAGGCTCTGCTAAGTCACTCAGGGCACACCCTGGCACTAAAACCACGACCACCCTTGCGTGAAAACGTGTTCTCTTATCGGTGGTGGCTAGATCGGCATGGCCGCTTACCTTCATAGTGAATATCATCCCTGTTTGTTGACCTTGTACCGTAATTTACCGTGGCACCTTCAGAAATTATTAAAATTAGGAGTTCGTTCGAAAGTAACGGGTGAACAGCCATGCCATGAACAGAGTCAAACGAGGCGTAGAGGAGAGTTCTGAAATACGAGCTCCTTCCCTTTCTCAGAGGCCGAAGGCGAATCGACCCTCCTCACAGGCCGTACTATGAAAAGTTGATTTATCATCCCTGAAAACTGTTCATAAAAAAGCTAAGATGAAACTACCGCATTTCTTGTATCCTTCATAATATGCCATATGAATAGTATTTATTTTGCTACCTTAAATGTTGTTAGACGAATGAACTTGTTGTTTGCGTAAGCAAACAGTGTCCATTAAAAATTTATTGGAAAACAATCGATTGATATTTCATATTGCAACTTTCTCGTCTTAAGGTAATGATCATAGAGCAACAATTATAATGACTTGTGAAATGCAATATTAATGTCAGTGAGATAGAGATAGAGAAAGGTAGTCCATTATGAAGACTTCGTTGTTCTTGATGTAATAACGACAGATGCAGGTTTCGCTCGGGACAGAATCCGACTCAAACCCGTTATCTTCAAGAAATGCTTCCTGGAATTAATTTCGTAACACACTGTTCATCCTTTTTCAACTATTTCGATCGAAGAAATTGAGAAATTCATTCCGGCGGCCAGGTGCGTGTCACTGCAGACTACACAATACAAGCGACGACGTCCCACAAAATTTAATTGCTGTTTGACACAGGAGTGATTAGCCGGTTGCAGTCATATTCTATCTTACTTCTTATCTTACTAAATGCAACAATCATTTATCATTGACCCCCAGCTATCATTATAAACTACTAATAGTTGACTGATTTCAGTTGAAGCCACCGTCACTTGTTGTGATGTCTGTAGCACAAAATCCCGCTGGCGCCGAAAACAAATGGCAGTGTACTGTAATATGATGCTTTTATCCTTCGTCCTAAAAACAGAATTGTGACACTCTACTCCTCCCTGTACTTGACTATCCCAGACTTCTAAACAGGATGAACCTTCATGTTAGGGGGGTAAAGTTTCGTAACACAATCCAAGCCCCGCGATTTGTCACCAGAACCCCTTCCAACACACCTAAGGGAACGGAGTGAGGCAAACACATATCCTGATACAGTGAATCACAGACCTCTGCCCATTTTATACCCTTGTCCACGAAATCGTAAATTACCCTGTTTTCATTCTAAAAAAAAGGCCCCTCACAGACTACGACTCTTGTCCTTCAAAGACTACCTGTCACTACCTCTCCCCCAAAACCCTATACAAAATATTTCCCAATAATTGAAAATCACCGATCACCCTCCGTGGAACGTTCCCACAGGACGCTTGGCCCTCTATCTGGGATTAGGAAAATTTGATAGGTGGAAAGTCTGCATTGCAGCTTCTATCGAATTTCTCAAATTTCAGTACGACTTAGGCCACTTCGGAGAATTCGAATCCTTTTGGAAAAAAAGGAATAGGTGCA